AAAAAAATCTCTTACCCGTAAGGTGACTACTCGTGCTTTGGGGTTTCGAATAGATGGTCCGGATGAAACATAATCAGCTGTGTCTATTTCAATTGGAAAATGCTTCTCACATTTCTCATTGCTGTCTAGTGCAGTTGGCCATGCAGTGCAGAAATCTGAGATTAAAAATTAGTTCAAATGTAATTTTGCAAGAAATTCTCATTGTAATCAATGTTACCAGACAGAAATCAAATTACTGAGAGAGTGCACTCAGCTTCTATGAAACCAAAGATCAAATTTTCTTTTGCATTTAAAAGCACATCACCACTCTTCATTCTTTTCTTCTTGAGTGAAATTAAGGGAGTGATGTAGTTAAGGTTCAATTAAAAGTGAACTATGACTTGATGGAAGCTTTCTAAAACCTCTTATGGGAAAACCTGACTTCTCACCAGTGAGTAGCAAACAGTTCACAGTGTCCAAGTATTATTTATTTTCGAAAAGGCCACAGATAATATTGGGTTACTCGCATGAAGATTACTAAAGATCAACTGAAGTAGCTCTGAAAAAGCACTAAAAACCTGAGATGTGGTCATCACTCCTTCAGAAACAAAGTGGAAAAGGTAGAAAGCCTCAGTAAGTATTAATATAAAGGGATGATGTTTCTTGTGTGTGCCTTCTGTGACTGGGCTAAATGTCAAGAGGGACTGACTAGGCCTCACCTCCAGGCAAGAATGGGAGCACAGAGAGAAACTCCAAGGACTGGAGCACATTCACTGCCTGGCACAGAGGTGAAAACTCAAGTCTAAGTTGGGAAAAACAAAAGAGAAGAGGAAGCCCCCTAGCGATCAGTGTGGGGACTCCACCCTAGTAGGTGGCACTTTTCTCTCACTCTTGTCCTACCACATAGGTAGTAGTGAGTTCCAGTTAGGATGAAAACTTCTAAACCTGAAACTTAAGTCCTTAAACAACCTCATTCTAGGAAGAGCTAGAAGTACATGGTTTCTTTAGTCAAACACATGATTAGACCTGCAGAATGTGTGAAACTTCCAAAAGAGCTCAAATGTAGGAGAGGTAGATGGGAGGGTTCTTCCAGGTGAAGACCAAAGAGGTAGCGACAAGCCCTTTGCCAGTAACCTCTCCCAAGCCAACCAGTTCCTTACAGTCCACATTTCTATATTTAGCTTCTATTTCAACAATAAAGTAAGAGTCAGCAAAATGCCTCTCTGAGTTACAATACTCTCCAATCTCTGGACTAAATATAGTTAGCAAATTAAGTTCCCCGTTTAAGAGATCAATACTCAAGGCACTTTGAGTATTTGAGGGGGAAAACGAATCTTTGCAATTAAAAACATTTTGACATTTAAATAAAATGAGCAAAGAAGGATTGCTGAGGTTAAATCTCACTCATTCTGGTTCGCTCCAAGGCCCCACACTGGAGGATGAGGTGCTGCCAAGCACTTTCTAAGAGACTAGTGTGGGAAATTATAAGCTCCTGAGTTTACCAAATCTTTTTTTTAACTTTGAATAAGTCATTTCATCAAATGATAATTATAACGTTTAAATTAAATTATCTGCTTATATGTCTAAAAAGACCAGTCAACTGGAAAGTACGTAACAGAGCCAATGAGCTTCGTTCAGGAGTAGGAAGAGAAACTGGATTTAGCTTTCCTTACCTTCTATCACTGATTACAAAAGAAAAGTCTGGGTGAATTACTTAACTTTACTGTGCTTCAGATTTTCCACTTGCAGGTGAGATATAAAATATGAACCAACCTACTTTGAAAGAAAACTGAGAATACATATTTGAAAAGCCTTTTAGTTATTGGGAAACTACAATCTAAATCCAGAAGCTAGCAGAAGGTGTAAAGGTAAAATTAAGGGAAAATTAAAACAGGTAAAAACTGCAAAATATTACTACTCTTCTGAAGGGACTCTCTCTGAAAGCCTTTCATTTGAAAATTATTAAGTACATCAGAAATATCCCAGTTACATGCCCATTTCTGGGTTATAATTGCATGTGTTAAAGTAATGTTAAAAAGAAAAACGGAAATTATCACAGTGCCATGCATTTGTTACCTGGCTTTACAAAGGATCAGGTGTATCTACCTGCTTACTTTCTACTCAGACCACTTTCTGTTCAGATTACTCTCTGCTCAGAGCAGCAGTGAACACCATCAAAAACAAGCAACAATATAGAAACACATCACAGAAAGGCATCCTAATGTAACAAAGCAGAAGACCACTGAAATGAGACAGATTTCTCTTCCCTTTTTATCCTTATATTCTGGAAGATGAAAGATCCTCCCAAAATTTCATCATGATCATGTTCACTTTTCTATTTCTGCTTCCATCTTAATCAGACTACCTGTGAAGAGTTTTTAGATTTAATTTTCTTTCCTGAATAACCTTTACCAGTATACAGAGCATTCAGACATCACTTTTAATGCAACATGAATTTAAGATTTCATCCAAAGGTACACTACTTAAGCACTAATAGCTATGAACCCCCAAACAATCTGTATTTGCTTATATCCTATACAGAGACATGCACCACTTAATGTTTTGGTATGCATGGACCACACATACAAGTCCCCATTGGCTGTGCCACACAACCCAGGTGTGGATGAGGATGGATTACTGGGTGTGATTTTTCCCCAATAACACATTTCTCAGAATATATTCACATCATTAAGCACAGCATGCATATAATCCAATGCAAATTAGATTATACATTGATTTGGGATATGTATATATGAAAACACACATAGAGCAAGAACAAGACCTGTTCTTTGCCTTTGCCTCCATACATATTTAGGAAACAGTATAAATGAGTAAAGTCTATGCAAATATCCAGGAGTCAAAAGATGTTGTTCATATTCAGTGAATCTGGAGTTATCACCATATTCAGGTAACTTCTTCCACCATATGTACATGTAGAATCATGTATATGCATGTGTATGTATATATGTATATGTAGTATAAGTAACATCTACATTATATATATGTATAGAGAATATATAATATTAAACACAGAGAGAATAGAAACAAATGAACTCTCTAAAAGTAATTCCCAGTCTTAAATAACAATACTAGAATGAGTGGAAAAGGAGAAGCCTGAAACTATTGCTTTTCACCATTAGCTTGTCTACAGTCTGATGCTACCATGTGCATGTATCACTTCCAAGTCTTTAAAATTTTAAATAATTTCTTCACAATTACTCTTTGCAAAACACCCTATTCCTGATGACAATGACTATTCAGCTACTCAGCTATCTTCAGATCATGTGGATTAGCTTCTATTGGCAACACTCGGCAATGATTTTTTAATCCTTTTATGTATAATTCACCCCTGAATTATGATTCCTGATTCTAATTATTATTCAAAAAAACTGCAGATGCAACATCCAACAATTCACTGAAAACAACTAAAAAATGAATCTGGCAAAGACTCAGTATATAAGGCTACCCATTACACATATAATAATAGATAACTACATATATGTATGTATGCATGTATGTATGTATAGTTACATATAATAGTACATATAATTATAGAAAGGAGATTCTTCCCTCTCATCTTTACTGAGATTAAAGTTACAAAAAGTTACTCAAATATGTAAAATATGTTGTCTTAGTATAATTATATACTGTAAAATGATTATCACCATAGCACTAACAGCTGTGTCACATATTACCATTTCTTTTCATATTTAAGATCTACTTTCTTAGTGACTTTTAGCCATGTAACAGTTTTGCTGACTATAATCACTGTGTTGTATATTAGGTTCTAGAACTTGCTTATTGTATCCTTGATTCAACATCTCTTTTCCCTGGCCCCCAGCAAATAGCAGCCACCACCATTCCACTTTCTTCAAGCTCTGTTATACATAAGTGACATCAACAGTATTTGCTTTTCTTTTACTTATTTCACCTAGCACAATGCCCTCAAGGTCCATGAAGGCTGTTAAAAATGCAGAATAACCTTTCTTGTGAGTATAATCCACTATATGCATATATACACATCTTTTCTAATCAACAATTTAGTTGTTTCCATGTCTTGGCTACTGCAAAACATTAACAGGGGAGTGCAATCTCTTTGATATCCTGTTCTCATTTCTTTTGGGTATAGGCCGGGAAATGGGACATATTTGTTAAGTGGAACAGGACATAGGTCATACAAGGTAATCTATTTTTAATTTTTTGAGGGCCCTCAAAGAACAGCAACCCCATGACATTCCCAAGACACAGGGTTCCTTTTCTTAACACCTTCACCAACACTTGTTATCTCTAGTCATCTAGTCTTCTCAAGTACCTGCTGGATATTTCACGTCTTCTTTTCATTTGTTTTGATGGTTTCCTTTGTTGTGCACAAGCTTTTTAGTTCGATGCAGCACCAACTGTTTAATTTTTGTTGTCTTTGTTGTGTTGTGACATCCAAAATGTCTTTGCCAAGACAAACTTCAAAAAGCTTGCCACTGTGTGTTCTTTCAGGGGGTTTTAGAGTTGCAGGACTTATATTAAAGTCATTAACCCATTCTGAGTTGATTTTTATGTATGGCTAAGAATACAGTCTCGCTCCATTTTTTTGCACACAGCTATTCAGTTTTCTCAAGACCATTTACTGAAGAAACTCTCCATTCCCCATTGTATATTTTTCTGGTTACTTGGTCATAAATTGACCACACAAGTGTAGGTTTATTTCTGGGTCTGTGACTCTGCTCCAATGACCTCTGCATCTGTTTTTATATCATATAATACTGTTTTTGATAACTAAAGCTTTATAGTATAGCTTGCATCCAGTTTTATTCTTTCTTAGGATTGCTTTGGCAACTGAGGGTTTTTGTGGTTTTATATAAATTTTAGGTTTGTTCTTCCTGTGGAAATGCCATTGGAATTTTGAAGGGATTGCACTGAATCTGTATATCACTTTGGGTGCTATGGACATTCTACCAATATAAATTGTTTAACCAATGAACACATACATCTTTGTTCTCATGTGTCCTCTTCAAATTCTTTCATCAATATATTATAATTCTCAGGGAATAGTCTTCAGTTCCTTGGTAACATTTAGTAGTAAGTATTTTACTCTTTTTGATACTATTGTAAATGGAACAGTTCTTAATTTCTCTGATTCAGAGTTCATGCTTGTGTATAGAAAGACAACTATTATGTCCTTTATGGAACTTGTTTTTTAATCCTAACAGCTTTTCAGTGGAGTCTTTAAATTCTTCTATATAACATAATGTTATCTGCGAAAAGAGACGATTTTACTTCTCCCTAATTTAGA